AAGGGAGAGATGTGCTTTGATATATAAATTTATAAAAAATATTGGCCCAGAAGATATTCCATGTTATTGTCTCGCAGCAGACAATACGTTGTGAGGCATGCCGTTATCAGTTTGAAACGCGGGCTGGGGGGAGGTAACGGCCGACATATTCGTTCAAGAACAATTGATGAATGCAACCCTCTTCATACGCCTGGTTCGCTGCTCTGAACCTACCATATTAGCCGGCGTTCTAGAAACTGTCGAGGTTGTGCAATAATATAGTGTGCCTGTGCCATAAATCTGGATGCCAGCGGCTGAAATTGTTGAAAACGTATGCATGTGCAACGTGATGAGTTCATTCATGGCTCAGCTGAAAACCAGAGCAGCTTTCAACCATCTCACCCTCGAGAAAATCATGAATGTCTATCTATGCAGAGATGCAGAGATGCAGAGATTGGTGTGACATGTTGGCTGCTCGTTCCAACCAAGCACCGGCTGGATTGTTTTTCCGGTCCCGCGCCAAGCCACCGTTTGATGAGCCTAATTCAACGCCCATCTGTGACTATCTGTTTGCTATCTTTCTTTGAACAACATCCATCCACGGCTCATACAATGCAGAGATGACCAAGTTTGCAGATCCAACTGCAACCATGGAGCCGACACATTATGTCCCGCATTGCCTTCTGTTTGTTTCTTTGTTCTTCAACTTTCATATGTGAGTCCCGGTATGCCAGGTTTCAAACTTTGTGGTTTAGCTGGCATGCTACAATATCTCGTCACACCAAGGGTTTGTGCCGCGATATTTGGAGCCGTCTCCCGGGTGTAACAAAATTCGTTTTGTCCTCTACTCCATGGGCAAAGATGGCTTCCGGAGGCTGAGGCTGATACGCATTCCAGAACATAGTCTTTTCTTTTCTAGGGGAAAAGAAATGCGCGTAACGCGAACCCGCTGCGGGCCATAATGGACGGACGAGAAAGACCTCCAATCATTTCCGGGCAAGTTGATCGACCTATATAAGGCAACACCATATTTAAAATGTAGCATGTCTACAGCCGGGTAACTTCTCTGAATTCTCCGCACCAGACAAATTCCATTCTATCATTGCCCAACGGTCTGGAGCTACCTTAATTCAAGCAGTCAAGCAGGGCATCCTTCCGGAGTAACGATAAGCAACCAGTCTTCGTGAGCTGCAACTGCCAAGAAGTTGCCGATTAATAACCCTAATGGGCCAGCATGATCTCGAACTACACTTTTTCAGTCTGGAGTAGGAAACCAAACAAAGGTGGCACGCATGACTCAGTTCAGCCGAATCCTTGTGTGGATGCTTTGCTCTTGCTTCCGCTCCTATCGAACATTTTTGTTTCTTCCGTTTCTTCTTCTGCTTTTGCTTTTTCTACTTTCCTTTATGCCTTTATTTGACTTGGGTTGGCGTGCACCAAATTGCTCCATTTTCTATTCGAGATCTACTCCCTTGGATGGTAGCTGGACGCCAGCTCGGATGATCTCCATCTTACCTAGGCTGGACTAACGCCGTGGCCTGCTCCTTGGGTTCACGAAAATGCCTGAACATCAAGTATGCTGATGATTGACCTCCTTGCAGGTTTATCTAGTCGAATGTGACGTGACGCACTCTGATGTATGTGCACGATAATACGTTACAATTTTCCAGCTATATTACCATTTTTAGTTCCAATACTTGTTTCTTGACTCTACATTTCAAATACACCGTGTCAACCACGCCATGAACTGCCAACCGTCGGTATCCGGCAGTACAGGCCAAACTCATGCTCTGTATCTTTGGAATTGCCGTTCCCAGACCACCTAACCCTACAAACAAGGGGAACAAGGATCTTGCATTATATTATACACATAGAGAATGCGAGTTAGATACCCTTTTCTTTGCCTATACACCACCGGTCTTAAAATTTCCTTGCTCGCTCGTTTCCCAGGTTTATGCAGCCCGGAGGCCCATGCCCTCAATGTGCATTCATTGACGCCCTTTAGTGACGTTGATGCTACGACAGACGCATATCGGAAATTATCCATGGTGCTGTCATTCTTGATCTCATTGTTGTTGTAGCCGGTGACCACGAACTGCCACCTACTAACTCAGTTTCTCTGAGACCTAAAACCGCCTGGTATATAGCTTGCGGTAAATCCCGATGCAATTTCCCAAACCTTCTGCAATATTCTACATATTCACGCCCTTTTACCCCATGTGCGCATCACTCCTGCGTGGTTTAATAAAATTATTGATTCTTGTCGCTTAATGCTTCATTCCGCTGTCCAGCCAACCGACATAGACGATGACCGACTCAACGAAGGAAGCACCGGATACTCCTATCGCGACAGAAACACACGCCATCGATTGTTTAGATAGAGAAGCTGAGAAAAAAGTTGTCTGGAAATGCGATCTCTATGTCGTTCCAATACTCTCTTTTCTCATGTGTCTAGGGTTCCTGGACCGCATCAACATAGGGAACGCTCGCCTTCAAGGCCTAGAGAGAGATCTCAACATGAGTGGACATGATTTCAACATTGCATTGTTCATATTTTTTATTCCATACATGGTCTTCGAAGTTCCGAGCAATATCATTCTTAAGAAAGTTGCCCCTTCAACCTGGCTCAGCGGTGTTATGATAGGATGGGGTGAGTGGCCTCCCACTCCGCTGTCCTCTTGGTGCAATTTCTTAAAATGATTATGTAGGTCTGGTCACAGTTTTCCAAGGGATCACCGATAGTTTCGCTGGGCTGGTAACTTGCCGAATCTTTCTGGGGATTTTCGAAGCAGGATTCTTCCCAGGTGAGCGTCCATAAAGCTTGACTGATTTTCTGTCCGTTTATTATCTGACATGCGTAGGTTGCGTATATCTTATCTCCATGTACTACAAGCGACATGAGCTTCAGACAAGGGTCAATTTTTTCATCGCCTGCAGCATCATGGCGGGTTCAATGAGTGGTGTAAGACATTCCTAATCCTATCAAAATGACCCAGAGCTGATAAATTTGGTAGATTTTGGCGTATTTCATTGCAGGAATGGATGGCATATGTGGTTATAGTGGCTGGCGCTGGATATTTATCCTGGAAGGCGCTGTGACGGTGGTTGCCGCCGCAGTCTCGAAATTTTTCATTCCGGATTGGCCTGAAACCGCAAAATTCCTTACAGAGGACGAAAGGAAGATCCTCATACATCGATTAGCAACGGAGAGCGAAAATTCGAGAATGGATCGGCTGGACAAACCAGCCATGAAACGCGCCTTCACGGACGTGAAAATCTACTTGGGGTAAGACCTCGGGACCTATCCTTGATTCTATAGATCGTTGTAGAACTCTCTATGTTTTACTGACACCATTTTCCTTCACTCTTGCAGAATTATAATGTACATTGGAATTGTCAACAGTGGATATGCAGTCAGCTTCTTCACTCCCACCATCCTCCATGATCTAGGCTGGACCGCGCTAAACGCACAACTCCTGGCCGTCCCAATATTCGCCTGCGGCGCCTGCTCGGCCATGATCACCGCAGTAATTTCAGACCGAATACGGCACCGCTTCACATTCACCATCCTCGGGTGCCTAATCGCATCCATCGGATATACAATCCTCCTATGCCAACAATACGTATCCCTGGGCGTGCGCTACTTCGCCGTCTTCGCCATCTCAGCCGGCTCCTTCATGTCGCATCCCATCACCATCACGTGGCTAAATAACAACATGGGCGGCCATTATAAACGTGGGATATCATCGGCGATGCAGATCGGGATCGGGAACTCCGGTGGCATTATCGCGAGTAACCTCTTCTTCCCGTCTGAGGCGCCACGGTACCCGACCGGGTACGGGGCGAGTCTTGGATTGATCTGGTTATGCGCGCTTACGTGCATTGTGTTCTTGCTGTACTTGTATCGTGAAAACCGGCTGCGCGCGCAGGGGCGCCGCGATCACCTCCTGCAGCTTCCCGAGGATGAAGTTAATAATCTTGGAGACCACCATCCTAGTTTCAAGTTTACGTACTGAGCTGAGTGGGCTGGTTATAGATGTTTGCCTTCAAAGACCATGTAGTTTTGCTTCTTCACCTTGGACCCCCATGCACTCTCCGTTTTCCTGACCTTAGCATGAAAATTATGTCCGGCGTACGCTTTTTCCTATGCGTTTTTTTATGTTCTCGTTGTTTCCAGAAAAGTGTCATCTCCTTTTTTTCTGCATTTTCTATTCCTAGTCCCGGGTGTTTTTGCTTTTATTTGTGGTCTGGCAGTACGACAGGAGATGATGCGCTTGGCCCGGACAAACTCTCTGTGGAGATTAGGGATATGAATGGCGACATTAGTTAACTAGTATCTACCTATCTACGTAGTACCTATATTCTTCATGAGAGGGCGCTTGGGGATCAAAAAAAAGAAACCTTTTTTTTTTTAGATCATTATTTCATTCAATCATCCTTGAAAACCAATTTTGGGCTTAAAAAAAAAAAAAAAAAAAAAAAAAAAAAAAAAAAAAAAAAAAAAAAAAAAGAAAAGAAAAAGTTGAACCCACGCATGGCCCAAAGTATACATACATAAAACAACCATTGCCTTTTAAAGCCAATGGTTGTTCCCATGATGGGACACAAATGACCCCGCATACCCATTATTGACATTCGCACGCTCAATAACCCCCAGCATAGCACCAACCGACTTCTCAACGGACATCGCCCCTTGAAACTGGGGTCATATAAGGTGAACTTATGGAGCATATCGCCCAGTTCGGCGAGCTGTTCGGGCGTTGCTATATGTAAATTTTTGTGAAGCCGGGTTAGTTAGATAGATTATTTTTATTTTATTTTTTATTTATTTATTTATTTATTTATTTATTTTGTTAAACCAGAGCGTAACTAATTGTTGCACTGGTGGGCAAACCAGGGAAGCAAAGTCTGATGATTCATGATTCATTCTCAATTTTCCCATTTCCATTTTTAACTTGCTTACCTTTCGCCCAACCCCCGTATCCACCACGCCCGGAGAAATGGACATGAACAAAATCCCCTCATTCCGATACTGCGCGCTGAACTTCGCCCGTAGCAGCATTCATTGCCGCCTTGGACACTGCATAGGGCATCTGCGACGTGATCTCATAGCGCGAGATGAATTCAATATCCGCACCGCCGGATGTGAGCGTGACTACCTTCTTCGTCATCCCCTTGCGCACGAGGGGCACGAAGAGAGAAAGCAGGTGGATGTTAACCGATGACGTTGATGGAGAAGCTTTCTAGGAGTTCGGCTCCGAGTCGTTCTACGGGCGAGAGGGACAGGTATATTTAATTTTGAGCAAACTGCCGGCGGTGGCAAGAAGGTCGTGAAAGATCGACCATTCAGAATGCAGGTTTGCAAACGGCGCTACTTCATCGGTCGGCTGCTTGCTGTTTGTAGCCAAAAAAAAAAAAAAGTTTGAAGACTCGTTAGCATAGGAGAACAAGGAGTCATAGTCTGTCAAATCGGCTTGGATGATACTGATGTTTCTTCCCGGTAGCTCCTTTGCGACCTTCTTGTACGCTACTACGGCTTTGTGGCGCACGAGGCCGATGACTAGACTTTCGGGGGTTGCGGAGAGTTGGCGTTGGAATTCATATTAACTATCGTATTGAGCAGTTGGGAGCGTAATATATATATGTATATATATGTCTGGGTTTAGATGTCCGGGTAGATGGAGGGTACTGCACCCCCCCCCCAATTCCGCGATTTGCACCGGTGATCACGAACGACGGCATGATTAGGACATGCAAATGAGATAGTGAATATTAATGTATATTTCAAGTGCTGCTGGTAGCGATAGTAAATATTCTTTCGAAGTTGTACCGTTTTTCAAGGGGAATACGGCATATTATATAAGTCCACCCGAGGGGTTCCTCTCCTCGTTCACTCAATGAACTCCGATTTTTTTTCTTCAATCAGATCAACTATTCTTGCCCACTATGTCCGGACTTAACTTCGGAACAGTTATTAGATCATTACAAGAGATGATTGGGAATCTTACATGAGGTTGGTAAGTAGGAACTTCCGTAACTAGTATATAGCTTGTTCTCCCGCATGTTCTCATAACGACGTCTACAGACAGGTCCATAGTGCAAATGTCTGGTTGACTTCCGGTTGACATTCTCTTATTGCCTGTTCTACCGGTTGAACCTCTTCCGCGCCCAGGCATGCCGAGATATACACGCCTTACAAGCGCAGATGTAGGAGTATTTATAGATCTGGTGGAGGTCCGCATATTATTATTATTATTCTACCATTATAATCGTATGCAGTCAGAGACTATGATGTACTGTATGTACTGTGTACATCTTCAATTTTTGTGGTACCCAAGATGTTAGACCCTTGTTTTTCAATCTTTAGCCCGATTGGATTTGATGTGTCGCCCCTGCGGGCGCTACCTGGGCAGCCGCAACAGCCACTCGGCCAACCGGGGCAGGGAGGTCCACATAGCTAGAGACAAGCGGAGTACAAGTTATAATGATATACGAATAAGCCTTCAAGGGCGGAAATAGGAGGCAGCGGGTAAGTTAGAGCGGAAAAGCTTGGCAGAGCGTTGATTGGTTTAGTCAGCATCCATTTCAAAACACTACCTCGGCACGGTTGCGCAGACTTACTGTGTAGATGGATGGGAACACCGATGGGGATGGAGATGAGAGTCCATATGTACGCTGTACGCTGTAAGTGATGGTGATGACGGGGATGATATGACGGAGATGATGAACAAACGGGTTGGATATCGTTATTGGCAGCACAGCTAACTACGCTAACAACCCCCTAACGCAGCAAACAATCATCTGACAACGCCGCAGCGACCATGAATACAGCGTAAGCTCTCATTCTGCTCTTGATTAGATCGAAGAAGTCTTGCCCGCCTGAATATTGCCTCTGGTTGGCTCAAGGCGCGCTGAGTGGGCTGAATCACTGCAAGCGCCAGATGGCGTCGATCAACTAACTTAGTTAAACGTAATAATTGACTTCGCGCTGGATCCATGGGCTGGGCGGGAACCTTTGGCCTTCAACCCCCTTGTTGACAGTTGTTATTATTGTCTTCTTCTTCTCTCTTCTTTTTGCTTTCTTTTTGCTTTCTTTTTGCTCTTCTTTTTCACATTACTTCGAATAATATTTCACGTGTAAAGAACTTGATACGAATTAATGAGTTAACATAACATGACTTCAGGCTTCCCCAGAGTGTGAGTGAGGGGAGGGTCGTCGCCTGCGTGAAACGTACCCTTACCCACCCCCGCTGCCAAACCTCAAACCTCAAACCTCAAGCCCCATAACATAACCCGCAGCCTCTATGCAGCTGGCCCCGAGAGACATGCACCGCACCACCACAGCAATCACAGCAATCAATCACTGTAACCCGTAGCCGGAGGAAGAACGAGGAGAACGAATAGCTCAGTGCATGTGTTTCTTCGCTCCCCATTTTTGTGTGATTTGGCAGCAGGACGCGATCCCCAAACCCAAACCCAAACCCAGACCAATAAATAACCCACCAGCCGTTCGCTCTCCGTATAAATGCCCACGCCCTTTTGGAGCCTCTCGACGACGCCTGCACGAAGTTGGTGACTCATATTCATGTGTTGCGACTACATGCTGCCCGCGCTGAGCAGCTAAGACGACCCAATCCTCAAAACAATTCCCCTCTTTGCCCTCTTGCTCTTTCTTATTCTTGCCCTCACCCGACCAGAACTCGTCCTAGGGAAGACGAGGAAATATAACCAAGACAAAACAATACAATAATCGGAAGAAAAACAAGCATACTGGCATATTGTTCTAGGTAGGGTCGGGGTAGACTAGGCATTGACGATGGAAAACTCACCAACAAACCCACCACCAACAACACCCCCGCGCTATGGTGCGTACTCCTCTTCTTTGAACTCAAGCAGGGAGAACAGGACCAAGGAGAACAATCGAAATGGACAGGATATGGATAAGGACACCAAGAAGGGCCGCAAGATGTCCGTCCTCGCCCTCCTAGGAAAGCTATCCAAATCCAGAGATACGAACCGTTCACAATCTCCCTTCTCGCCCCCTCCCTATTCTTCCTCCTCCACTCCCCCATGGCACGATTCAACCACCGCCCCGCGACTCTCGAATCAACTCTCCCCACCGACATCGACATCGCTAGTCTCAATACATCTGAAGCCAGCAGAGTACGTCCGGCGAATAAAACGGCTACTCGCCAATTCAAAAAGACCTCCTCCTTCCCCTCTTCCTCAGTCGTCGCCGCATCCACCATCGCCGCCAGGACATGTCGATGGAAGCAATGTACAACAGAATATCCCCAACAACAATGGCACCAAACCTGGCGCTGAGACCAGTTTACAACAACAACAACAGAATACCAGTCCACCACCCCCGCAGCCGATATTACATTTCCCTACCTTACCCGCGCACCATGCCGATAAAATCCACAACAACAATATCTACAACACCAGCACCAGCGAAATCCCCAACCCACCCCAAAACCCAACCCGCTCCTCCTGCCCCCTGCTGCCCCCAGACATCCAACCGAGCTTACTCCTCCACAATCCTGTCAACAAAGAAAGCAGATTCCTAAAAACCTTCCTCCGCAACAGCCCGCCCAGATCGAGTACCCCGGTCACCCAATTCAACATCGCCACCCTACAAGCAGAACTGGACGGGCCCCTGGGACCCATGGGAGGCCGAGGTTGTGTTGGTGTGCGCGATGTCTCCAAACCGAACCCGCTAGGCCCCGATGGCGGTGATGATTATGATGAACTGTTGGAGTTGGGGCGGAGTGTGAGGGGAACGAGTCGGTTGGAGGAGGAGCAGGAGCGGTCGAGGAAGAAGCTGGTTTCTGGGGTAGAGAGGTGGTTGGATGGGGTGGAGGATGGGGTGCCAGCGGAGGGTTGAGTATCTTACTCTGGTACCTACTTCTGGCTTTGATTTTGTGTTGCCTTGTTTGGGTGGGTGGATCTGCACCGTTTCGACGGATACACGCGTGCAACCACGGTGTGTGGAAGGGCTACGGAGAACCAGCTTGTTGGGCAAAACCTGGCTATTTATATCAGGGCGCCGAACGGGCAGCCAGACCAGACCATTTGCTGATACACATATACTTTGGGCTTTGTGTGAAGGATAACCAATAATGGACCTTATCAGCCATTCTGCGTTACGTTACCCCAATTCTCGTCCAAGGTCCGTCCACCGACGACAGTTTTATTTATCATCCTCTCCGATCCGGTGGGGAGGGAGGGTCCATTCCCTAGCGACGTACCTGTTCGCGTCTCACCATTTCTTACAAACGAAAATATCTCATCCGAAGACAATAACAGCACATGGCACAAACGGAAGGAAACAAACCATCCCCGCTCCAAAAATACAATCGAATTGTCCATCTCAGTCCTGCCACGAAGATAAAGCATACATCACCATCCTGGATGTTCACAATTCATGCACTAACTACCCTCCAATTTTTACGAAACCAGCATAAGAAAAATTAAAGGAAGACCAAAAAGCACGCACCCCCACGGAACCACAATTACTTCCCAAGACATACGCTACTCTTACGACCTCACAACCTCACAGCAACCACTCTCGGCGTGGATGAACTGAATTTTACCCACCAGCCTACTTAATCTAGGCACTATACCCCCATCCATACCACTTTTTCCTTCCTTTCTTTCTATCCCTTTTAGCCCTACTCTTTACTCCTTGATGGAGGTGATATGATGTAGTAGTTGGTTGATTATCGAGATCTATCTATTGTGCGGCCTTTTATGTGTGGTAGGCGTTCGCCAAGCGATCGGCGAACACCTCGCTTATGCGGAAGCGGTCGGCCCGTAGGGAGGGAATCCGACACTCCTTGCTTTTATACTGCCTTTTTTTTTTTTTTTTTTTTTTTTTTTTTTTTTTTTTTTTCTTTTGGTTTTTGGTTTTTTCGCGAAGTTTGGAGTTATCCATATATATCTCCGCCCTTCCTGTACGTTCATGGCCTCCTTTCTCTAATGCCCTATAGTATATATATTTGCTTCTTTGTTTCTTTTTTTTAATTTCATTCCCTTTTTGACACGAGTGATGGCAATGGCAATGGCAATGGCAAGCGTACTAATAGCATAACATAACATAGCATGTCCTAGGAGCCGGGGTTTCTTTGAGGGCCGCCCCGGTGGGGGGTGGGGGAGAAGGAGGAGTCTTATAACTAGCATCGATTCGGTCTTGTTCTTTTTATATATATATAATAATTGGTATTGGTTCGATCGAAAATCGTTTTTACGTATAATAGTTTATACTCAGTGTAAAATAAAAACCGACCCTCCGCTCGATTCGGATTATAATCATAATATTAATATTAATATTAATAAGAATGAGTGAATGAGGGACGAGGAGGGGGGGGGAACGAGGGAGGGGGCTGACGGAGCTGGGAGTGTAAGTTAACTTACACAAACAAAAGATCAAAAGCTGGCATGGAGCATATAGCTAGCGATATCCTCATTCCTCTTTTGGGTTTGTTCGTTAGGGATAGGGGAGAGAAGTTACAATGAGAATTCGAACAACTCTACTCTGTTATCCGTCAGTCTCCTCTGGCTGGTATTTTTCGGACAGCTGTTTTTTTTTTTTTTTTATCCCGCTTGTGGTTATTGCTATATATAGAGCACGACACTTTTAAAGCTTAGCGGTGGGTGGGAAAAGCATAGGTGGCTAAAATGGTTTAAGATAAGAGATGTACGTCAAAAAGGAGAGAAAGGGGCCCTAGGGTAGAGATAAAAGACAAAGATAACGACAAATCTAAAGATAGAGATAAAGATAAAATGGGACGCATCATATTCTCATACATTCTCATAACAATTTTATACATCTAGCTATCGTAGAATCCCCCTCTCCCTGTTCTCTCTCCTGTCCAGTTTCCCTCCCCAACATAAGGAAGAATCCCCCCTCAATGACTCAACAAATCCTGCACGCTCATCCCAAGTTTCCTCCTCGTCGCTTGGCTCCCTTCACCTTCACCACTACTACCCCTATCCATCCCAATCCCAATCCCAATCCCAGCCCCAGCCGCAGCCCCAGCCGCAACCCCGGAACCCCTCCGATCAAGATTCAACATCAACAACGCTGCCGTCGCTTCATGGTCCATCGTATCCATGCCTACGCCCACGCCCACGCCCACGCCCACGCCCATGTCCATGTTCATGCCGGGACCACCCACGGGGCAACGTTGTTGTTGTTGTTGTTGTTGTTGTTGTTGTTGTTGTCGTCGTTGCGCGACGACGACAGGAGACGGGTTAACGTTTGGCGTTGCCGTGCCTGTCGGTGACGCTGATGCCGCCGCCGACGCCGCCGACGACGACGATGACGATGAAGGTGCCATCTGGCCGTACGGGGGTCTGCGCTGTGCGTGCAGGTATGGGCCTATCGGTTGACCCTGGCCAGCGAATACGGCGGCGGCGGAGGCGGCGGAGGCGGCGTCGCGGGACGAGGAGGACGAGGAAGGGAGGAGGGCGTATGCGGGATGCGGATGCGTGGGTTGTGGTTGTTGCTGTTGTTGATGTTCATAGTCATACTTGTACGCGTGCTTAGGGTTTTGGTTACGGTCCGTGTAGATGTTTGAGATTCTTGTGCTGCTGTTGTTGTTGTTCAGGTGGTTGTTGTGTAACAAGTTGGAGGAGGCGGGAGAAGGTGATCGAGATGGGGAGGGAGAGCGTGATGAGGAGAATTCATGGCGCCCGGTGCTGACGGAGTGGTGTCCTGAAGTGATGCGCCGGGTGGAAGGGCCTGAAGAACCCGTCCTGTCACTGCGGTTGTTGCTGCAGCAGTTTGCAGCCTTAAGTTCCTTCAAGCATTGCTCCAGGTAGTTCATATAATCAATGCTAGCCTGTTTTTGTGTAAGTATTTGTATTTAGGCAAATGGAATAGGGTTTTTTTTTAAAAAAAAAAAAAAATAAAATAAAAAATAAAAGGAAACAAAGGCAAACCAACCTGCAAAATAGCCAACTTATGCATCTCCTGCCCCCTACACGCAGGAATCATATTCTTCAACGTCATGAATTCCTCATTCATCTTTGACCGCCTCCGCCGCTCAATCAAACTATGCGCCGTCTTGCGTGCAATTTTCCGTCCTGCCGCGGTAGTCGGGCCATTGCCCTGCTGTTTCTTCTTGGATCCTGCACCACCAGCACCAGCACCAGCACCAGCACCAGAACCAGCGCCAGGAGTCTCGCCCTTGGCCTTACCCTCTGAACCAGCAGCGCCGCCAGCATCCCGCGGCGCTGTCTGCTCAGCTTGGGTTTTGGGCTTCATCTGGATGATCTTCCGCGTGCGAGTTGGCGGAGGCGGGAGGGTGAAGTTCGCTGCGGCAGAGCGCTTCCTACTGTTACCGTTGCTGCTGTTGTTGTTATTGTTATTTGCTTTCTGGCGGGAGCTTCTGGGGCCACGGGTGGTGTTTGACGCTTCAGCTGCGGGGATGTATGGCGAGATGGGAGACATTGGGCGAGCAGGAGCGGATTCTTTGGAATAGCCAATTCTGGAACTGGAGCCGGAGCCGGAGCCGGAGCCGGGGCTACCATTTCTAGGGAGAGCAGCTGGAGGTAGGGAAAAGAACATCTCGTTTGGAGAATTGGCGAATTTCTCCTTTGCAGCGATGTCAGCGGAAGAAGCTGGAGTTAGAGGGGGGCGTGGGTTTGGCATGCTGAATTAGCAAGGAAGCGGGTGTTTCTGGGGATTTTCTTTTGGAGAGAGAAGAACAGTAACGATATATTTTGACGATATATTGGGGGATGTATTGGTCTAGATGGCAGATTATGCACAGCACAGCTACAACCTAGAGGGGGGGACAGGAGCGCTGAGAGCCAGAAACAGAAAGCTATAGAAGCAATATGTGTCTATGTATATATATACTTGGTATATCCGAATAAATATCGCGAGTTGACGGGCAAATAAATATATATAGTAACTATATCCGCACCCAACAGGAAAAGAAAAAAACAAAGAAGAAGAAGAAGAAGAAGAAGAAGAAGAAGAAGAAAAAGGCCAGAGATTCCTATTATATACCGCAATCTAGCAGGCGTCTCCGTCTTTGCCTTTCTCTTCCTCCTCCTCCTCCTCCTCTTCCTCTTCCTCTTCTCTACGCCTCGAACCGGCAAAAGAAGCGCAGCCCGTGGCAGTGTCGCGTGCTCGTGCTGCGACTGATAGGCTGGCAGCAGCTGGAGACCAGAACTAGCGCCAGGGCAAACTACGGCAGTTTATCTCCTCGTTCTGGGGGCGAGGCCACCATTGAATACAGTAGTGTCTTAAATACGCGTAATCTACTCCGTATAGAAGAAGTATCTGGTAAAATTGATTCCTCCTTTGGTAGCGGCCATACTCCGTAGTTTAGTAACAACTAATCAGTGGATAAACGAAATTTCAACACTATAATGAAATAAGTTATCTCGGATTTAACTTACAAAACAATGGGGAGAGGTCTCCAGGTCCCTTTTATAGCTACTATCCATGCGGATGTTCTGATTGACAGCCTTCCTATCCGCTTGAGTTTGCTACTTCTCACCTATAGTTGATGCAGATGAGCAGGTTGGGATGAAAGGTCCACGCAACTCGCGAAGCATGGGACTCAAAGTTGGAGTTCGATTTTCTGACCTCCCTTGTGTGTCCTTGATACTTGACTCTGTTCCGTTGACCAAATAAAACTTGTTGCCCTTCATGGGGCGTTTGCTTAAAGTGGTGGCCCCAGTGATCTTGCACCTAAAGCGCCCCCGACTGCCAGTTCCACCATCATCCTCACCGTCCACTTGCCGCCCTTCATCCTCCAATTCTCCGACGACAATGCTGCCCAGCGAGAAAGGTTCGAATATCTGTTATGAATACGACTGGATTAGTGGCACCGAGTCACTTACTAAATACAAACCTGGGGCCTACCATCCCATCATGATTGGAGACATACTGCACAACCGCTATCATATTGTGGACAAACTTGGTTTTGGCGGCTACTCAACCATTTGGCTCGCACGGGACACTCAATATTAATTGCAGCACTATGTCGCCGTGAAGGTCGGTATAGCAGATTCTCTTCTGAATGAGACAACGATCCTCCGTACTCTGTCTTCGCCTTTACCTATGTCGTCGTCTACATCCTTGAAGTCAGCGGCCCGGTTAAAAGGGCGAGATTCAATCCCCATCTCATACATTTGATATTTTAGTTCAACTGTCTATCATAGTACAGCAGCTTGTTTCATTCTAATAACATTATTATTATCAGTCTGATTGAGGTTGAATTGAATAAGTATTTATAACTCAGTTTTCATTGAGTTTCAGATACACTCTTATAATCAGCTTTTTTTATATTATCAGATTTTTAAATCATCATTTATAAGTTGAAGATCTGAGTGCTTTTCATCTGCAAATATATGATATATATTGATTAAAATAGTTTTTAATTTGACTTCTCAGTATCAGTTGTTATAGTCTCTGAATTCAGAGAGCTTGTTATTTAATTTCATTTCAATATAAAAATGTTTTTATAATATATAAGTTTTAATATGTTAATTATTGCAGAGTTAGTCTGCATTAAAAAACAGTAATTTTACAGATAAACTGCAATATAGTAAAATTAAATATTTTCATCATTATTATTATTATTTTTATATGTAAATGTAAGAATAAGTACTCACAGATGATTATTCAGATGTTTACAGCTTGATGTGATATATACTATTAACTACTAAAAGTATTCACAGTAGAAAGATAAAATATAGAGATTAAATATATAATAGTATTTAAGCTGAGTTATAAATAGTATTTATAAACTTCAGTCTATATAGTTATATGTAGTCAAGAGCTGCTAACTCTATTAATTATATAAGAGATAGAAATAGAAGTAAAGAATTTATAAAAAGTGAGATTTCTTATATATCTCTTTCTCTCTAAGACTTTGTCTGTAAAGTCTTTCACTGAGTGATTTCATAGAATCAGACTTAGTACTATAGTAATACTTACTAAAAACTCTTCATATCTATAAAAAATCTCAGTGAGAAAAAATCTCTTATTACTATAAAGAGAAAAGAGTCTGTTACTTAGTTTCTTATTCTATAAGATTCTTTATAATTTACAGATCTTTCTCTAACTATTATACAGATTCATCTTATATCTTTTATACAGAAAAGTTCTGATTAACTCTTAATTATTTTTATAAAATTCTTATGTAATTATTATATAGATTCATTCTATATCTTTTAATTTAAAGAATTTCAGTTAATCTTTAATTATTTTTTCATAAGATTCTTGTGTGATTATTATATAGATTTATCTCACAGATGAATTACATTCTACAAGATTATTCTTATTAAAGAGAAGTATTTATAAGTTATTAATCTTTTACTTATTCTTATAAATTATCATTCTTTAACACTGTAGAATTATGAGAAATTTTTCATTCTTTTATTAATTCTATAGAATTGTAGAATCAAGATATCTATAGTCTATAATTACTCTTTATAGTTATATAGAAAGATTCAGATCTATAATTTATAATCACTCTTTATTTACTAGAGTAATCTGACTATTCTGCAGAATTACTTATAGTATAAATAAATCTCTCTAGAGTAGTATAAATATCTCAGATCTATCTGTGAAATCTTGTCTTCTTTTTTCTTTTTCTGTAACAGCTTTTATTCTCATAAACTATAAGTATTCTCATTTATTTATAAAGTGTTTTTATTTAGATAATAGAGAGAGAGTGTTTCTAATAATATCTATATATTAATTCTGTGATTCGGAAGAACGTACAACTGTTGAATAATAACACGGCCGCTTCTGAACTTGCTTACAAATGTAAAAGAGGTCATAGCGGCCATCAATTAATTTAGCATACAATATATAAGAAGCCGGTGTACGCCTGTAATCATATACTGACTCAAGCAATCTTTGAATCACATCTGATAGTATGTCTAAAAACTGGTATAAAGTGCAGGCTTCTTCAGAGTATGATAATTTCATCTACAAAGTGATTTATAGTTATCATGTCAGAGTGATTCTAGAACATCTCAAAAGATAGTATATAATAAGTAGTAAGTGAAAGAGCATCTGATTGATACTGCTTTACTTGTTAAGGAAAAACTTCATACTCAGATAAATGTCACATATAGTATACAAATAGATAAGATATGAGAAAGAGAATGAAAGCAGTGAATCAGATTCAAAGAAGTTCACTCTCTACTTAAAAGAAGAATAAAAAGAAGAAAAGATAATTATCACTGAAGTTGTATAATAATAATAGAAATTATATAATGAGATAATAATATAATAATAGACATTATACAATTAATGAGATATCACTGAAATGAATATCTTCTTTAATTAATACAAATAATACTCTTCTCTGCTATCTGAACTGAAAGATATACAGAATCTCTCAGAGACTTTACTCAAAGCAGTAAGAAAAGCAGCTGAAACTGCTGAACTGAAATCAAAGCTCTGTACATGTACAAGAATTCTAAACAAGATCAAGGTCTTGTATACACAGTGACAGACTGAGATAAAAGTTAAATAATAATTAATATTTACTGCAGATCAAGTATTTACTATGAAGAGCATTATCAATGTAATTATCATCATTAATAAGAATAGAGAAAATCAGGTCTTAGATTTACAGTAAAAGATTAAATGTTTACACAGATAGATAACTATACTGAATCTGAAGATTTCATCACAATCATTCACAATCTTTTCAGAAGTGTATACATCATCAGAGACTGCTGTATAGAATGAGAATCTGAGTATGAGATATATTAAGTCAGAAGATCTGCTGAAGCTATTAAGTTTTAATAGTAACTGAAAAAATGATGCTGTAATCAGCTGACTAAGTTAGATGTAATTATATTATCAGATTGAATATAAACTTACAGACAGATAGTTAACAGAATTTTAATAAGTCTTAAGATCTGTCACATTTCTATATGAAAAAGTGAAGTCATTATAAATAACTAATGAAAAGATGAATCTCACAGACTCAGAGTGATATCTATTTTTATAAACATGGAATGAGTTTTTCAAATGAATCTTGCATAACTTTGAGAAAGTGAATATATAAGACAAGTGTTACAAACACTTCACTAAGTGTAGATAAGTGAGTAATCTTATATCATACTTCACATACTTCAGTTTACACTATCTTGTGTTGAATGAAGAGCTTTTAATATCTTTCTGTTTATAGATCTTTATTCATAATCTTATATCTAGACTGACCGCCGGAACTATGAATTTCACATTTGATCTCATTTAGTCTGATCTTATACATTTCTTGACGTGAATTCTGCTGGGACTAGTCATCAAAAAAACATGTAAAGTGACTATATATCAGATCTTAAAATGAAACCATGACTTGAAAAAAATGAGAAAGTAATCTCATTTAATCTCATTTAGTTTCATTCTTGACATAAAGTTACTATTTTTAGACATTTTAAGGTTTTTTTTAGACTATTTTTAATTTTTTAAAAAGTAACACTTTTTGATAATGCTCAAATGAGATTTAAAGTCATTTAAAGCAATAAAAATAATTTAAATTGAGAAGTGAAAATCATGGTCTCATTTGAAAAATGTGACAAGAGTAGACAGTAAGTCTCACTGAGACAGTATGAGACTACTATCTAATGTTAAAACTGTGTAATGGGATCAGTTGAATTGATAATGAGACTATCAAAAAATCCGATTCTGGTCCCAGACTAGACTGACCGTGTGACCGTGTCTGAGACCAGAACCAGATTTTTTGATAGTCTCATTACCAATTCAACTGATCTCATTACATGGTTTTAACATTAGATAGTAATCTCATACTGTTTCAGTGAGACTTACTGTCTACGACTT